CCACCAAAGAGACGCCCGAGCAGGTGGCAGTGCTGGTCCCAGGGCTCCGCACCCCTGGCCGGGTCCTCCTGGCTGGCCATTCTCGCCCATTTTGTCCTGTCCTCAACACACGTTTGTAAAACTCATGTGAAGTGCACATAACATACAATTCACCACCTTGACGATTTTGAAGTGCACCATTCAGAGGCTTAGGACATTCACCATGTCGTCCCACCAGCTGATCTAATCAATCCCCATTCTCAGTTCCCTCGGAACGCTCTCTTCTCTCCTCTCAATTTGCCTAAGAGCCGAGCCTAGTCCCAAAGTGCCCAGCCTCGTCCAGGAGGTTGGAGCTGGCGTAGCCCCAAGGAGTGGAGCTGAGGCCTGAAGAGGTGGAGCTGGTCCCGAAATGGTGCGCCTACACCCGGAGCCCAACGTAGCCCGCAGCCCGGTAGAGCTGAGCCCGGACCCGAAGGGCGGAGCCAAGACCCTCAGAGCACCTGGCTCAGGTGGGCTGTTCCATAGAGAGGGGTGGTGTAAATGATTCAACTCAGGTGCACCCCGTAAGAGCGTGCCCGAGGCCGAAACCGGCTTGGCTCAGTGGATAGAGCGTTGGCCTGCGGACTGAGAGGTCCCAGGTTCGATACCAGTCAAGGGCATGTACCTGGGTTGCGGGCACATCCCCAGTAGGAGATGTGCAGGAGGCAGCTGATCGATGTCTCTCTCTCATCGATGTTTCTAACTCTCTACCTTCCTCTCTGTAAAAAATCAATAAAATATATTAAAAAAAAAAAAAAAAAGAGCGTGCCCGAGGCAAGCGCCTCCTTTCGGGCTCCGTGTGATCGCAGACCTGGCCAGACCACTGCTTCCAGCTCTAAATCCTGGGAGGCGCTGACTGACTACCGGCCAGTCAACTTTCCCCGCTAACAGCCAAGCAAGCTCATCTCACAGACTCAGGACTCTCCCGCAGGCTACGAAGTTCCCACCTGTTTTCTATTAAGTGAGACCCTTCTTTCTCCACAGGGCCACATTGCCCCCTGGTGGGCAGGTAAGCCACCTACAGAGACAGTTTTAGATCTTAGGTTGGGGGACGCTTCTGGCAGTGGCCCCAGGCGCCAGATGTGTATGAACCTGGTCCTGAGCAGTAAGAATTCTCCTGGGCTGATTTCTGAGTGTCTGCTGGGCATTTACATAGGAAACAAACCTGTTTATAACATCTGAGCTTAGGACTTACCAGCATCACTTTACATCTGACCTAGAGGGTTTTTTAGGGGAGCTTGGAGAGGGGGCATGGTTTAATGCATACTGAGTTTTCCAAGAATGCAAGTACTTTATAAATTGGTGGAAATATGTATAATTTTGATCTTTCATGAGCTCTGTCCTTGCATTTCTGATAAGCATGCCCGCAGTGGCTGCAGCGTTTGAGTTGCCATCCCAGCCCGCGGATACCTCGGGCGTCTGCAGGGTGATTCCGTGGGTGGGTCAGAGTATCTGCCGATTTCAATACGTCCCCTCACGCCCTATGTCCCTGACCTGGAATCCAACCCGCATCCTCTTGGTGCATGGGACAACGCTCAACCACCTGAGCCACACTGGCCAGGGCTCTATTCATCTTCTAAAATTCCCTGAGTAGGTACGTTGTTATCTGTGACTGGCATTTCAGGAGGGTGAAGACGGCATCACTAAATGTGGCTGCACAATGCTGGACTGGCTGGGGCTGCAAACCGTGGCGTGGCCGGCGATGTGTAGAACATGAGGTTGTTCTTACGCGATTTCTTCCTCTAGCCTCAGAGTGCGGCGGAGGATAAAAAAGGCTGGGATTTGCCAGCAATTCCCTTGAATTATTGTCCAAGTCAGCACGAAAGCTGAGAAGGTTCTATCCTGAGACAGTAACTTATCGGGGTGGCGCTCACCAGGCTGGGAGAAGCGGGGTGTGGAGATCTCCTCGGTGCCGTCTGCTGTTGCAGATAAGCCCATGACGCCCCGAAGCGAAGCTGCCTTCCCTCGTTTTCATTTAAGCTTCAAAACCAGCCCTTGGATCTTCCCTCTAAATCAGCCCGCCCTGCGCCCTGTGGCGAGCATCTGAGTTGCAGTCGGTGTCTGTGGGCATCACCTCCCATTCTGAGCATCTCAGGGAGTTAGACTAGAAGGGTCTCTGCCTATTTCGTGACACACAGCTTCCTAACACACAGGTTCTCTGTGTGGAGACAGTGTCTGCTCCTGCTGAGACAGGGAAGCAGCAAACCTGCTCCGGCTCTCAGCCAGTCACTGGCCCCGGGGGCACCGAGCAACCAGTGAGCTCATGGCTCTTTTCTGTTTCCTGCCCTGTTGCCCTTCACACTTTGCCCAACATGTCTGTCCTGGGGGAAGGAATGGGGGCCTGTTCTCCACGTCTGCAGGAGTTTCACAGGCTTTTCCATTCTGACAAGACTTGAACCGTGCCCCATCTCCTCCCTTGGACAGTGCGGCCCTGGTGGGCTTCCAGAAGCTTCCCTGAACCAAGGCTTTGCTCTCCTTCGAATTCCACCCAGGGAGGTGGTGGCCGGAGGCAGCTGGCGATCTGCCTGCCTGTTTTCTGGACCAGCCACAGACACGGAGCCGAGAGGGAAGAGGCAGATGGTGGGAAGACTATCTGTCCTACCTCCAGTACGGACCTCGGAGCCCTCAAGGTCTCGACCTTGGGCGGTGTCCTTGGCCCCTGGTTTTAGCAAGAATCCTGTTGGGTTGGTTTAGTGACAATCCCTTCTCCTGAGTTGAATCTGATGAAATTGCTCACTCCCATCCGTGATGTCTGATCACCTGGCCTGCCCTCAGCCGGAATCCTGCTCAGTCTGTGCACTGTGCCCTTTAAAACGCCCTATTCCCCTGCTTCTTCAGCATCCGCACGGGCCAGCTGCCCAGGACCGCCAGTGTGATACGGTGGTCACGGCCTCACGTTCCTCTTCCTGCCCCCTAAAAGTGACATCCCTGATGCCTGCTTTGTGTACCCCGCCCTGACCCCCAATAAAGGTCCTTGCCCCGGGTCTTCTCTGCCCTGTGACCTCCTCTTGACCCCTGTGTCTGGGACTAGTGAGAAGAAACTTTGTTTTCTCCTGAGCCTCCCCTCTGCCTCCTTTAGGGGCCGCACCTGGCTGACTGTCTCATAGAAGAACCCAAAGCAAGAGCCCCTCGTTCTGATGTTTCCTCAGCAACTTCCCATCCATAGACCCTGCTCCCTTGGGTAGTAATCTCTTCCTGTCCTTGCCGGAGTCAGAGCCTCTTTTCCTATGCAAATAACCTGGATTGCTGGCTGTGTGCATCTCCGGTCCTCAGGGAGCGGAGGGAGCTTAGGGCAGTGGTTCTCAACCTTGGCTGCACATTAGAATCACCTGGGAATCTTTTTAAAATCCTGATTTCTGGGCCTCATCCTCCGGAAATTCTGTTTCTTTGTTACTAATGTTGTGCCCCCACCCATAACAAACTGTTCCCTGCCCTCTCCTGTAGCTCTCGGCCTCCTGTAGGACCTGCCCCGTGCCCCAAGTCTAAGCACCGGCTGAAGGGCGCGGTTGCACCCGGGAGACTTACTGGTAATCTGGTCACCCTGAGTTTAATTTTACCAAGATTCTACTTCCAGATTCTCCGAAGTTTGGAAAATTGACCCCAAGGAAGATGAATGGAGCTGTTCCTTCTGAGAGCGAGGGCTGAGCAGCGATAAAATCACTTCAAGGGAACCCTTAGGCCACTTGATGTGTGGCTGGTTCAGTTTAGCTCACGGACTCCTGGGCATAATCCTCGCACCCAGTGAGATTTACAAAAATTCCAGATCATAGATCCAAAGAGATCTCTTTGTGTTCTCTCTCCCTCTCTCATACACGCAAGCATGCAGGCAGTGTCCTTCCCTCCCCACCCCAGCAACAATGGTTCAGTGACCTTAACCACAGCAGGAGAGACCTGGCTCCAAGAATGACATCATGAGCTGTCAGAGAAGCTGACCTTGAGCTAGAAGCACTGGGCAGACTCATACACAGGGGCTGAACATCATTAAATCTGGAAAACTAATGGCTTTAGAGAAAGTACAAACCTTCTTATATATATATATATACATATCCTCAAACTGAGCCAAAACGACAGTGGAAGATGAAAAACATTGTGCATGAAAATGTTCTTACTCCGACAGAGTTAAGTATCATTAAAAGATAAATACCATATTATCTCACTCTTATTTATGTGGCATCCAATGGACAAATTTAACTGACACAAAACAGACTATATATACATATCCTCAAACTGAGCCAAAACGACAGTGGAAGATGAAAAACATTGTGCATGAAAATGTTCTTACTCCGACAGAGTTAAGTATCATTAAAAGATAAATACCATATTATCTCACTCTTATTTATGTGGCATCCAATGGACAAATTTAACTGACACAAAACAGACCCAGAGGGAAGGGGTGGGAGTAGGGAACTGGCCAATGGATGCCGACCACAGAATGGTGAAGGCCAGGGGAG